CGAAAGGGTCACCTCCGGCCCGGATATCGGCCGGCTCGGGAATGTTTATCGGAGCTCCTGGGGAAGGGAAAAACAAAAACCGCCACCCAAAGGAAGGGATATGCGTCAGAGATGGGCCTGCATCGCCCACCGCAGCCGGGCGGGCCGTGCTGTGGGCTGTGAGCCAGCGCTCGCCTGGCTCCGTCAGCCCGGCTCGGGGGGGATCCCTGCGCTCCCCCAGCCCACCCCGTGCCCGGTGCTGCACTGACCCCGCCTGCTCCCAGATCGCAGGGGCCCTCCGTGGAGGTTTGTCTCCCCCGGAGCCCTGCTGCCATCCTGCGGGCTGGGGCTGCAACCAGCAGGGATGCTCTGGCTGGAGCAGGACCCGGCGATGCCCCTGGGCACCTCCGTGGCTGCAGGCGTTATTTTGCTGAGGGAGAAGGAGGACGGAGAGGAAGAATTTGGGAGGGAGGGCGATGCGAGCGGTGGTCGCAGCGTGGAGAAGGCTCTGGGGTGTCTCATCATGTGTTGGATGTCCGCATCCCTCCAGCCTCACTCAGTGCTTGTGAACCGGTGCCGAAGTCCCGGCAGGGATCTGGGGTGCGGAGGCCGGTCTTCGAGCCGCGGGTTTGATGGAGGAGGGCTCCTGTGGGCTGCTCTGCCCCGGGGTGGTGTGGGCAGGGGCTGCCAAGGGGTTTGCTGGCCAGGTGTTTGCTTCTGGGCTTGGACATCTCCAGGGTATCCAGTTTCTTTAGGTATGGTGATAGCTGGCTGTGAGCGAGCCAACCCATCGCTGCTCTCCAGGGGAAGGCTGCAGGGTGTGCCCAACCTCTTAGGAGACATCAGAGAGTCCACACCACTCGTGGCCACGGGGCCTTGTTCGCTGGGAAACTGATTTTGCTGCTTGGCAAAAGCCGGGTCTCGAAGTGTCAGCTTGCCCCATGGGGCAGGAGGGATGCTCTTGCACCCCTGGGTCAGGAGCTTGGCTTCCCTAGGGAGGGGTCTGCTGCATGGGGCAGGGTCTTCCCCCTCCGCCTTGAACCCGGGGCATGTTTGAGCCAAACTTGAGAGAGGGAAAGAAGCTGAAAACAGCGTTACGTTCCTGCAGTCCTTGTAAAGCTGCCTTTCTGGGATGAGCGAGTGCCATACAGCCCAGGTTGGTGTCTCCTGTGGATGGGAGGAGCAATGTTGGGTGAGCACAAGCCCATATTAGACATTGGAGAATCCGCTAGGGCAGGGAAATAAAACCATGGGCACCCCAGTTTTCTCCCTTCTCCAGCTGAAGGAGCATTCGTAGCCTGCAAACCTCCTGGTGCCGACAGCAGAGGAGGGGCGGGCATGGACCCTACCTGTCTGTGGGACCACCGTTTCCCACAGAGGGGTGGGCTGCGCATCTCCCCCCATCACTGGCCTCGGGAGCTGGGGCTGGGAGGGGGTTGGGGGCCCTTGGTCGAGCGTCCTGGGGGGAAGATCGTGATGGTGTGCGGGGCACGGTGCGGGACGCAGGGCGGCCCTCACCGGCCCCGTCTGCTGCGGCTCCCCGCCGGGGGACAATCCCGGGGGGGTGGCGGGGGGTGCCAGGGAGGCTGGCGTGGGGCCAGCGCCGCGGGGCAGGGAAAGGGGCCTTTTATGGAAGCGTTTCTGCATTAGAATAAAATCATAATAATAATGCGCAGGGGAAGGGAGCGGGAGGAGGAGGAACCCCTGAAGAAAACAGGGAGGCGGGATGGGAATGGGCCAGTGGCCGGGGAGGAGGCAGGCGCTGGGCATGGCCCTGCGTGGACTGGGATGGGGTGGGATCCGGGTGCTCCGACCGGGGTGCTTGCAGCAAATCCTGCTTCTTATGGCTCAGGGCAGGGGAGGCTGATTGGGGTGCGGCGGTTCCCCGTGCTGCCATGGTGGGGGACCAGCCCCTGGGGGGTGTTCGGCATGCTGGCTCGCTGCTGGGGGGGGG